AGCTAGTGTGTATCATCTTACTAGAATAGAGTATGGCGTGGATCAACCAGAAGAGGTATGCATAAAAGTATTTGCCTCGAGGAGGGATCCTAGAATTCCGTCTGTTTTCTGGGTTTGGAAAAGTGTGGATTTTCAAGAATGAGAATCTTATGATATGTTGGGAATCTCTTATGATAATCATCCACGTTTGAAACATATTTTAATGCCTGAAAGTTGGATAGGATGGCCTTTACGTAAGGATTATATTGCTCCCAATTTTTATGAAATACAAGATGCTCATTGAATGATAAAAAACTAATCTTCACTTCTACAATTCTATAGATTCCAGGTTCTATTCTAGATTAACCAGAGTAATTGAAGTCTCRTTTGTATTATGGTTTGTATTTTTATTATGTATAGAATAAAAAAAATACAATAAAATTAGGGATTCATTGGGATTCTCAAATTTGGAAAATACTTATTTCGGATGAGCCAADTCGATAGGAGGAACCAAATGAGTTCTGCAGCATCAACTTTGGACTACATACATCACTTAGGGGGAATCTAGAAARTCATGTAATGTAGGAGGAAATGAAAAATGGAATATAAAAGAAAATACAAATAAATGAAAACCGTATTTGTAGGGGAATTGAATTCGCATGTCTACAAACATGCTAGAAAATAATGTTTAGTTCATCTTTTTTAGTCCAGGGGTATATATATATATATATATATAGGGGAGCGATCAAATGCAAACCACTCAATTTGTACAAACCGTGCAAACCTCATTCAACCAATCATAATTTTTCATATTGTTCATTTTTTTTGTAATTATGAGAGGTTGATTAATCATTTTTATTGTGAAGGGTGTTAATCATAGATATTATCATCTTCATTATTTTAATTTTTAGAGAAATACATGAAACAGTTTCATTAATTTTAGAGAAATACATGAAACAGTTTCATTAAGTATTATATGAAACAATTTCACAACCATATATGAAACAACTCGATCAAAAAAAGTATTATATGAAACAATTTCACAAGATTAAACAATTTCATGAAAAAATTTCATAAGATTAAATAATGAAATCGACGGATGAAGGTGGTTTGCACGGTTTACACAAATGAGGGCGGTTTTTATTTGATCAGTCCTCTATATATATATATATATATATATATATAGGGTTGGGTTCACGTGAGACCAGACTATTTTCGTGAGACCCGTGAGACCACATTTTTACACGTAAACTTCACAGCAAAAACACTGTGAAGGTTAGAAAAAAAGTCGAACCTTCACAGCAAAAACACTGTGAAAGTTAAAAAAAGTCATCTTCACAACATTTTGCTGTGAAGTTTCAAGTGTAAAAAGTTGGTCTTACGGGTCTCATGAAAACACGCTGGTCTCACATGATCCCAAGTCTATATATATATATATATATATACATATATATATATATTGTGTATATATATATATATTGTTCTTCATCCTCAAATGCATCTTTTTTTTTATTAACGTGAATATCCAACCTGCTATGCATTTTTTATTTCAATCTTTATCTTGCGTTAATGTATATACTTCATGCATAAATAACAATTCAGGTGTAACATAATTCCACACAAGAAATCGAAAGACGAAAGCCTTTCCGAATTGTTTGATATATCTATCCAATTAATACAACATCAAGAGGCAAAAAGTGTGCCAATAGCTTCCCATCTCTCATCGGTGCCATCGTATGCGCCCTTCGTGGTCGTCGATGCATAGAAAGAGTTAGATCAGTGTGGTTATAGACCGAAAAAGCGTTTCCTCCTTCAGTATGATCCGAATCCGCTTCACACTATCTGCAAATTCCCTACACAATTTGTAAAATAAATACAAATATCTTCCGTTAACAATAATTGTTCCATATATATGTGTTTTTCATGATCTATGACTTATATCACATGATTACTAACAAACCTACTTCCATGGGACATCACCAACAATCTTCCATTGTTCATCTTGATCTTTATACCACAACGAGAACTCTGAACCACTTTCGAATAGCCGTAAACCACCTAAAGATTGTCTTCCTACAAAACCCACAAATTTTACAAAGTAATAATGTGAAAAATTCATAGAAACTTTCATGTTACAGAATTCAGGAACTGTTACCAATTAAGCATACTCACCGAACATGGCTTCTAGCTGATAGGCAAGACTCAAGTAACTAGAATGATCAAGAACACATATTTTTCGACCGATGGGTACTCCATCCATGTTAACCTTCACAAAATCGCTTTGTTGTTTTCTACTTCTGAGTACGTTTCTTCCAACGTTATCGTCTATATTCCGAGTACCGACTTTGGGATTTTCGAAACGATGCAATTGGTTCCATTCTAATAGATCGTGATAGTCATCTGCAACTACTTAAACAAGTCCATTTTTATCAGAACGAAACGATAAACTAAGGTGAAGAACAAAGTACCCTTATTAATTAGGGATATATATATACTGAGAAAAGCTAAGGTCTTACCATGAGGATTCTCGGAATGGGTATAAGTTTCTGGCTGCAAAACTCTAAGACTGAGCCCCAAGTCAATGATACCACCATTTTCATTGTTGGTTTGATAGTACAGTGACGGAAGATCTGTATGGTTGAGAAGGTAGGTTGAGGATGATTCTGAAGCCATTGAACAATCACGAGTAAGCAACTTGGATCGCTAGGTTAGATGTTATGAGCAGTACCGCTAGCCAGGGATATATATATATATATATAGTGGGTTATTATACAATCCATTGCATTTGTACAACCAATAAAACTCGATCTCAACCATCCATTTAATTTGATGAATATGTAATTTTATAAAAAATTTGATTGTTTCATCATAATTAATGAACCTTATTTATTTTCCATAAATATTTAAATCATAATAAATCTCATCATTTCCATAAATATTTCAATTTATTAGGTTACATTGGTTATACAAATGTAATGGATTGTATTTTGAAACAAACTCTATATATGAATGCATGTATATATATGTGTATATATATGGGTCGGTGTCTATGACAACCATAAAAAATTGAGAAACATGAGAATATGTATACAACTTGGATTGTTGGGCTAGCTACATGTTAATGAGTAGTGGGGCTAGGATTACACTATATATATATATGTTCCGATTCTTATGAAAACCATAGCAATTAATGAGAACCATGAGAACATGTAAGTTAGTCGATATATACATTGATGAAGTTCTTGCATACATAATTTATAAAATATAGATTGATCAATATACATATTAATGAAATACATATTTTCATATATGTATCATATAATAGAGGTTCTCATACTTCTCAAAAATTTTATCTATGTCAAATGAACTTGGGATATATATATATATATATATGTATGTATGTATATGTATATATATATATATGTATGTATGTATGTGTGTGTGTCTGGACGCACGTATGTATATGTGAAAGGGGGGAGGTTCATAATGATAACCTTTTCATTTTAGGAGAACGTAGGAACATTACATGTGATGTTATCTTATATCATATATGATACACATGTGAAACTAAATCAGAGATGCGGACCACTTTCGCCACAACCTAGGTTGCAGGTGAAGTCGTCCGTACACCACTAGGCCCCCTCAGGTGTGTATTATCACATGTGATAAAGATGATGTTTTTAATATGATACTATAACAACATATCACATACAATACTAAATCAATGACGTTGACGACTTTTCGCGTGACCTAGGCTAGAGGGCATGTCCTCCCCACACTACCATATCTCCTCATATGTATTATTACATGTAATAAAGGTCTTCTCGTATTCTCGTAAAACAGAGGTGTTCTCGTTTAAACCTCCACCTATATATATGTATGTGTGTGCGTAGGGTTGGGTTTAGAGAAAAACCGTAAAAAAAATGAAAAACTGGACGCTATGTACATGTTCATACAATTAATTTGTAAAAAGTTTGTCTGATATGCACATGTGCATAACATGCACACGTTCATAAAAAAACAACTTCAATTACTTGTATACACTTGTACATACCGTCCAGATGAATAGCTAACAGGATATTAATTACTTCGTTTTTTTTATTTTTAGGGTTTTTCCCTAGCTAAACCTCCTATATGTATATATATACTTCATCCTTTTTAAGAAAACTAGAAGGGTACTCATGCAATGCATCGAGACACATTATCATTTCAATGTTTCATTTTATTTTTTATCCATGTCGATATGATACGATTTTATATGGTTTTGAAAAAGCGATAATGTTTATATTTTTTAATAAAATATAAATTTGAAAATATCATTATAAAATTTGAATTAAATATATCAATATTAGTA